TCTGAAGATGATCACTTGGTGATCGAAACACGTGTCGACGTGTTAAAAATAACGATTTGGTGTTGGGAAAAAACTCCAGTAATATTCATTACTACACCAAAGGTTCCAAACAGTGCATCATAAGTACAAGTCTAAAGTAATACCTCCAATTCCTACAGTTTCTAAACGGTCCAGAAGAATTTGATGGTTGACAGTGAATATTTGAATATTATATAGCGTTACTGAAGCGTTTGAAGGCCGAAATGGCAAAGAAACGACCGCATATGACAAATAAAAAAATTGTTTCATCACCGTGTCACAAATCAATGAAAACGATGGCAAAATTCCATAGAGTGGGCTTCGAATTGCTGCCACATCCATAATATTAGCTAGATTTGGCTCCCAGCGATTGCTCAAAAAAATGCTCACTGGTAAGAAGTTTCGCTCGAATAAAGAGGTTATTGCTAAAACCGAGGCCTATTTTGGGGCAAAAGATAAATCGTTCTACAAGAGTGCTACCTATTGAAATGCTAGAGCGGTACTGGAATGTGTGGCTCTTGATAGATAAAGTCAAAACATAAAAAACGCGTTTTGTTTCGTAGGCCCGGGACTTTTAAGCCCAGGTGTTATATCTTCAAGAAATGTTGTAAATCATTTCCATCTATTTCATTTTTAAAAGCCATCAATAAATTTTTCTTGTATGTGGGTATTTTCGAACACGGGTAACCCGAAGATTATCCTTCGGCATCGTCCAAACATTGGTAATTTAGTTAATTGGAAAATCCTGTCTTCCATTAATTGGGCCAATCGGATTTAGAAAGCTGATCTAGGTTGTTTACAAATATATAATCGATATGTACGGTTATTCCTTAGCTAGTTTCGTATTATTTTCTCCATCCCAGCCGGAGGTGTTTTCGAAAATAATAACACGCATCTATAAAAATAATGTCCGGATAAAATTCAGCTGTCAATCAAATCGGCCCGATTTCCGTTCCTCGTCATAAAAATCCCAATCCGAACCGACGTCGATGCGGCCTATTAAACAATTATGTGGTACCGAGTAGGCAAATTATTCGGAAAAAATATTTAATGACCTCACAATTAGGTTTCTTCTAACAAAAAGCAGCGGGCAATTTCGTACACTTTTTCGGAATCGCCAGAAAAAACGTATTCGACAGGCGTGCCGTGTATTTTCTTTGTGTTTGTAGTTTGTAATCTGTTTGGTAAATTGTCCCGGCTTTATCGGGCCCCTTTCACGTGAAATTATAGGGCAGTTTGACGTGGCCCTGACAGCTAAATGAGGCTACAGCGATATCCATGCGATCGCGTACCGGCACTGACTAGCGCCGTATACAGGGTGAGACGAAGTAGTTGGGATCTGATATAATGTCAGTCAGTCAGTGATTCACAAAGTCTGCTCTCGCCGGGGCGCCGGGAGGACGTCATAAATTCGCCGCGAAATTTAAAAAAAAAATCGGCAATGTTCTTGGAATTTCCAATTCTCGAATTTTTGCACCAACCATAGTAGTATATGCTGACAAAATTCCAATAAATTCGCAACTATCAAGTCTTTCATTGCTTTTTTCTTCGATTCGTCATGCAAAAGTGTTTCAATTTTTTAAGAAGTTCAAAAATGTAAAAAAAAATCTAATGTATTCAGTGTAATGTAAGTCAAATTCAGTGGTTAGTACATCGTCCACTAGATGGAGAGACATTTTTGTTGTTCGCTCCAACTTAGGACAGGGAATTAAATACTCTGAAAAAATTTTGATTTTCTATTTGAAATTTAAGACGGATTGGGATGTCTTCACAGCCCAACTCGAAGAGATGCGCGCCCCTCCTGAGGTACTCGACTCTCTTCGAGCGGCCACCTCCAGGGAGGAGTGTCCGCTGAGGAGCTATAATGAGTTTCCCCCTCGTATCAAAGCCTTGATACGAGAGAGAAATCGCCTGAGAAGGCTCTATCAGCGAACCCTTTTCCCAGGGGATAAAACTGCGGCAAACAGGATGGCCAATCAAGTCAAGCAGGCCATCATTGACCATCGAAACGAAAGGTGGGAAGAGCTGTTGGAATCCTTTGAACCTGGGAGTGACGAGCTTTGGCGACAAAGCGTTAGCCTTTGCAGACACGATGGAACGTCAGTTTCAACTTAACGTTGACGACAACAACGACATCGATCGCGATATGCTGCTGGAAGACCGGGTTCACCGACTTCTCAGGAAGGATGACGATGACGACATCCGTCCAGCTTCTGTGGAAGAGCTGAAGGGATATATCAGAGCCGCAAAGGCTAAGAAAGCACCGGGGGTCGACTCAATAACTAACAAGTTGTTGAAGAAGCTCCCGGACAACTGCGTCGAGTGCTTACTAAATAAAATTAATAGTTCGCTAGCCCTCAGACACTTCCCCAGTAGATGGAAGCATGCGGTCGTTGTCATGATCCCAAAACAGGGTCAGAACCCGCTGTCTGATAAGTCTACTCTCTTCGGCGGCTAAGCTGGCTGAAAGAGTTGTTCTCCAAAGGCTCGACGAAGAAGTTGAGGACCGAAATGTTCTGCCTGATGAACAATTCGGCTTCAGGAGAGACCACTCCACTGAGTTACAGGCTCTAAGGCTGGTCGAAAAACAATCAGCGAGTTGAACACTAATAAAAAAGTGCATATCTCGAAGGCCTTAGACCGAGTTTGGCACGAAGGTCTTCTGCACAAGCTAAACGGGCACCTACCTCGGGGCCTTGTCCGGTGGATCGGGTCCTTCCTGAAAGACAGGACATTTCAGGTTAGAGTAGAGGGATCTCTGTCTGACAACAGAGAGATCCTTGCTGAAGTACCACAGGGGGCCGTGCTCTCTCCGACGTTGTACTCACTTTACACCAGTGACCTTCCGAGGCCCGAGCGTGTGAAGGTATCTCTTTACGCCGATGACACGGCTCTCCTCTCATCTTCCATGGGTCGGGAGCTCGGTGTCGTCTATATGCAACGTGCATTGGACGACCTCGAGCGCTGGTACCTTGATTGAAACTCTCAGAAGTTGAGAAACTTGTGCGAGCTAAGGACTAACGAGGTCTTACCTTTTAACGTGTGATTCCTAACATGGTTGCAGAATCATCCCAGCTCAAACAGATAAATTCTCTCGAGAAAAATATCTGGTCGAGGCCGGAATCGCACCCACGGTCTTCCGATCATAAGTCGGGCGCACTACCACCGCGGCCAATTCCACAACATCATCACTCATCTACACTCCACATATCTAGGAACATAAATAATGTTTTATTGGGCGAATAATAAATAAATCCGTATTATTTGAGTTTTCAGTCAATTTCTTTGGATCAGTCAGGCTCAGTTTTTTCTAAATATAGTCGAAGTACTTTTCTTGACGTGTTGACACGTCAGTTTCAGTTGACACGTCAAGAAGAGTATTTCGACCAAGCCACTGAAGATGACTGCCGCAGTTGTAGTTGAAACGTTTGGAGATTATACCCAAAGAAGACCTGGACTTTTCCTGGACATTCGTAGTGGAGTCATTCAGACCGCTCGATATAATTTGTTATCCCCGTAATAAATTTGCAGGAAACAATGGTTCTTTAGGCTAGAACTCGAGAATAATTGCCATACAATTTCAACAAATTAGCGAAATGCAAGGTTCGACTTTTTTCGAACATGCCACGTCACGCTCTTTGAGAATTGCAAACAATGATTACTTCGTTGTTACCTTATCCACCTCTAGAGTGTTTCTTTCAGCAATTCCCTTCAAATAATAATAATGTTTATTTTTTCGTATACATTGATGCAAATTACATTGAGTGAAATCAAAAATAAATGAGATCACAGAAGTCAAAGGGATCTATATCTTGTTCGTGACAAAAAATATTGTAAATTTAGTAAATTTCTATTCTTTCCCCATCTATCAACATATGTACAAGTTTGGGTCAATCTCTTTTTTGGCGTCGATAGTTTTTGACTCAACAAAATCGAATTTATTTGAACACCAAGGCATTGTCTAAGGATTTAGAGTATTTAGACAATGACCAGGGTTTCCATGAATTTTGCTGACAAGTGTTATTTTATGAAATACTGGTGCTACCATCTTTTATTTGTTTATTCATAATCCGAAATTTCTTCACAGAATTCTATTTAACGAGTTTTCAATACATAGGAAGCTTGGAGCTATTCACCGACAGATGGCAGTGTAAAGTATTTCACATGGGCAAATAGTATTCATTAGGCACGGAATTAGGTCCATGGTATTTCATTTGTATTTTTAATCTTTGTATATATACTATGTACCTACTATGATCTATTTTCATAGTCATTACTGTTATCGAGATAATCTATCCTGCCTTGGCATGAGTCCGCAGAGCAACTATTCAGGATAATGTTTCGATTTGAATTAAAAATGACTTATTATATAAATAAGTTTCGATTAAGATATTGAGATTTGTAGTTTGAAATAAAGGTTTATTGTCTTTCTGCAGAAGGAATTATGCAAGTTTTAATATTGAATATTTGATTCCACTGGTTCTATTTCACATTGACAGTGATTGAAAATGTGAGAATGATGCACTACCAGGTCCCGAAAATGGCTATAAGTTTTCTCGCCACTGGGAAGAAGCGTTTTATCATTGTAAAACTCTGCAAGCTTCATCACTTTTCTAGACGCGCTTCTCGCCAAACAAGTTGACATCTTCTGGAGATGAAGTAAACTGTTTAGCCTACCAATCCTTCGATATTCAAATGTAGAGATCTACTTCGATACATCCAAAACTAAATTTTCTGATTACTCGTTGCCAGTTATGAATTTCAATTGGTTGCCATCAAAATTCGACATCTATACCACAGTAGAATGCTATTACTATATATATACTTCCCCAGTTTGATTTTTTCAATGTTCATATTTCGACAACCAACAATACAACAAATACGTGAAAAATGTTGCCTTCTCTCCAGTGCTTCGTTGCGATTGCCGTGTATCTCCAAGGCAACTGTCAACAATAAAAGACGCGCGCCGCTTTTACTCAACATAAAGCACCTTCTACTACAATCTACATACCGGGACAGTCACCTGGCCAGGTCTTAGACACCGCTATACTTTTCTTTCGTAGGTAGAGAGGTTAAACGACAGGTGTTTGCGTTGTCGAAGACGACCCTTTTTTAGTAAGAATTCGGACGTGAGTGAAGTGCCAATTTTGTGATTGCGAATTGTGCGAAGTGTCAGTTATCGGTTTATGATAATAAGTGATGAGACAAGGGTTTTCGAAGGGATTGGTGGGGTGTTTGTGGCAGAACTAGATCGACTCTATGGGATTTTTCTTTTTTTCGGATTTTGTTTGTCAGAAAGGTAAGAAACCGTTTGTTTGTTTAGGACTGTACTAGAGGAACAGCATGTTTTAATGAATGTAAACACTGGAACACTTTGAAAGTGTGTCAACGCAGAACCTAAATTTGTTTTTTTTAACAATTACAACTTTGACGTCAATGTTCTGGATAAATATGGGTGAAATTGTCACTTGTTTTACTGACATTTCAAGAGTGCTTAACCCAGTAAGACTATTTTTTATTCACTTTCTACATTCTCAGCCTCTCATTGATGCAATCTTTTTCTTCCGTTACTTGCTTCATCTGCTGTTGAGATCTCTCTTACGAGATGAAGTGTGACCTCGATTTCTGTGCCGAATCACCCAATTTTATCGATAACTTTTTGGATACAGATATAGGTTATACCTTTCTTAAGATGATGGAGCAATTTTCATATTTTTGTTGTGACATTCTAAGTTCCCAGGTTGACTCACAGCGAGAAAAATCTCTGTATGGGCAGCGTATGGAATTTGCAAGAATTTTGTGAAAGTACCTACTTGAAGCCTGTTTGTGTTTCACAGGTAGTATGACTTTATGCATAATGAGCCAAAAATACTTTTTGGAGTAATGCATTTGGTATTTTTCAAACGAAACTTGTAGGTATTGATTGCGTTTATAACTATGAAGTGAATGTCAGTTTCTTGGGAACTCGTTACAGGCTTGACATTTACAACAAACAGCACGTAGTTCGAGAGGCATTAAAAGCAATTTTCATTGCAATAAATCGTTTCTGATTTATTGCTGGCTGTGTCAATTTTGTATGTTTTAGAGCTGTATTAAAGTTTCTTCGCCTTGTGGAATGTTTTGGTGTATCTGCTTTCTTTCTCCTTTCAATGAAAAATGAGTGACAGTTGTGAAATTGCATCTTCAAAGATTGAGATGATTCAATGAAAATTTTATTATCATTGGTAGTTGGAATAATATAAAAGGTGTATAATGAAAAGTACTGTAAAAAAAGAAGAGGCAAATGTCGTATAAACTGTAATTACAGAATAGTAGGCAGTAAATTCTCAGAAATGACTGACGTTTTTTCCTTAATCTGTTTCTTGCAGTGGCGTAGGTATGGAAATTGTTCCTACTAAACAGGTCTCCTGGATTTTTTTACGTATAAATCAAAAATGCTCTTCAAAAGATCATTTGTTATTGAGCTGAAACTCGAGTAACAAATTCAATGTTCCCGTCATCTATTGAAACTTTTAGATAATTTGGTATTTTTGAGAATTCATATTTCTTGTTGTAACTATAGCCTTGGTTTTCATCCTGTCTAACTTCAATTCATTTTTTGTCAACGTTTTCTTATACTAAATGTCCATTTAAATGCTTGTCCATTTATCATATATTCAAATTCAATAGGATTTTTTTTGCGTGATATAGTCATTGTGGTACATTTTTTAATATTGAAAAATAACTTATTTTCACATTATGTATAGGTGGAGGAGAAGCAAATTGATACTGAATCTAAAGACGAAGGTTAGCTGTTTATATATCTAAAGTTTTTTGGTCCGATGTGGACTTTGTTTGTTATAATTTTGCTTCTGTCGGCCAAAAATATAAAAGAATCATCTGCTGATTACCACGGTTTTATTCGAAACCTGGTTCAGTGAGCAGCTTCTCCCAAATATTCCTCCAAACTCGGTTATTGTTATGGATAACGCTTCATATCATTCTCGGTTATTGACTACAATACCAAACAATAACACAAAAAAAGCAGATATTGTTGATTTCATGCGAAATCATGACATGGAAATACCCGAAAAGATTCCAACGAAAAAGGTATTACTGGCGACCATGAAACAACGTAATTTCAAAAAAGAATATATTACTGATTCGATGTGTGAAATACGTGGTCATATTCTCTTACGTTTGCCTCCATACTATTGTGTGTTCAATCCAATTGAAATGGATTGGGCCACAATGAAAGAAAGCTTGCGGAAATGTAGTCAGTCACCGACTTTGAACGCTGTAGTGCTTGACAATATAAGGCGAGTGGTGAATGAAGTAGGTAATAGTGATGTGTGGAAGAATTGTGTTGCCCACGTTATAAAAGAAGAGAACAAATATTATGTGCAAAGTTCCAGATTTTTCAACAAGTAGTTTCTAAACTGAAGTCGCGAATCAAATTCAGAATACTGTCAAATGATTCGTATTCAATGCGCATCTAAAAACATAAATTAATTGTTTGTCTGTTCAGTGACACGATTTTAAAGGTTGTACACCTTTATTCGAATACTGTTCATACCGCATTATCATAAATTTTCATGAGGATCAATGGATAGTAATTGTTTTGACATGGCTTGTTAATCGTGGGTCGTTCCTAATATATTAATGAAATTCAGTATAGTTGATAACGCACAATATTGTCCTCAAGTTAATATGTACCAAGGTTATGTTTTTTAACGAAACAAAAATGATATATTCAAAAATGATATATTCAACAGGCTGCTTTATATACCCATTTGGAGCTATAGGTAGGAAGGTCCAAAGTAAACGGATCTATTCGACCCTTGCAACCCACGAAGGTTTATTATGACTCACACCTATACAAACTTGACCAAATAAATCTAGCGTCTTTACTGTTCCTTTACTATTACTTCATTTGGTGTGTGATTATCTCTGAGCTGTCAGATGACAGTGCGGAACTCTGTCAAACGTTGAAAACCAGAAACGGTTTGTATTCATAGCTGTTTACGATCTTTTTGTGTATCAGTCATGATAGTATACTGACTGGTCGAAATTACGGGTGAATATTCCATCTGCAGTAACCTTCCCAAAGGAGGGCATCTGTATCTGACAATAGATTAAATTCAGCCATGCAGAGCTTTTTTGCCTTCAATTTGGGTTAATCGCGAAAGTGTTTGCTACTTCCGCTGCTCATGAATTTGGTGCAAGACAGATCCATAAAATATCTTGCTCTTGAGTAGGAGACAGTCGCTTCTGGTTTTACTAAATTGCCTTCTATAAAAGTCAGGCAGGTGCAAGACAGATTCATAAGGTTTCCTGCTCTGGGGAGAAGACATAGTCGCTTCTGGTTGAACTACCTAGCCTATGCAAGACAGGCAGGTGCAAGGTATATTCACAAGGTATCCTGTTCTTGAAGAGGAGACAGAGTCGCTTCCTCGATACCTACCTATTTTTCTATGCAAGACTGGCAGGTGCAAGGCAGATTCGCAAGGTATCCTGCCCTTGGTGAGGACATAGTTGCTTCTGGTTTCTATATGCAGTCTCATATGTTTGTTAGCAGGTGCAAGGTGGATACAAAAGGTAATCTGCTTTCGAGAAGGAGACAGAGTGGCTTCCTGTTTGCACACCCAGCCTCTTGGGGAAGATATATAGTTGCTTCTGGTTGCACTTTGCAGCCTCCTATGTCTGTTACCACGTACAAGGCATAAGGTATCCTGCTTAAGGAGGAGACAGAGTTGCGTCTTGTTGTACTACATAGCATTCTATGTGAGACAGGCAGAATACCAATCAGATGTGTAAGGTAGCCTACTCTTGAGAAGGATACGTAGTTGCTTCTTTTTGCAGTATGATGCCTTCTGTGTTCGTTAGAAGTTACAAGGTAGATGCATAAGGTATACTGCTACCAAGGAGGAGACAGAGTCGCTTCCTGATGGCGGCACACCTAGCCGTTTGGGCTTCTTGTTGCACTACGCAGTTTGTTAGCAGGTGCAAGGTAGATGCATTAAGTATACTGCTCTTGGACAGATAAAGTCGTTTCCTGGTTGCACACCCAGCCTTCTACGCGAAACAAGCAGGTGTAAGGCAAATTCATAAGGTATCTTGTTCTTGGGTTGCACTATGCAGCTACCTATCCCTTTTTTGGGGTATAGAACTTAGGTTCTAAATCATCGCAATGGACCATCAGTTCTCTCACACCCCCATACGATTGAGAGGAATGAAATTTGAACTGGCTAACCCATTGAGATTAAAGGTTATCCGGATATACATCCAGTGGGGTCCAATGACTAATGGACCCTGTTAGCAGGTGCAAGGTAGATTCATAAGGTATCCTGCTTTTGAGAAGGAGACAGAGTGACTTACTGGTTCCACTACTCAGCCTCCTACGTGCGTCAACAGGAAGAGGAGAGCAATTCGCTTCCTGGTTGCAAACCTAGCCTTCTATGCAAGGCATAAGGTATCCAGCTTTCGAGAAGATATAGTTGTTCTGGTTGCACTATATACCCTCCAGTGTTTGTTAGCAGGTATGAGGTGGATGCATGAGGTATCCTGCTATTGAGGAGGAGACAGAGTCGCTTCCTGTTTGCACATATAGTTTCTTCTGATTGCACTTTGCAGCCTCCTATTAGCAGGTATTACCCTGTTAGCAGGTACAAGGCATAAGGTACAAGGCATAAGGTACAAGGCATAAGGTACAAGGCATAAGGTATGCTGCTTTTGAAAAGAAGAGCAATTCGCTTCCTGGTTGCAAACCTAGCCTTCTATGCAAGGCATAAGGTATCCTGCTCTTGAGGAGAAGATATGGTTGCTTCTGGTTGCACTATATACCCTCCAGTGTTTGTTTGCAACCCACGAAGGTTTATTATGACTCACACCTATACAAACTTGACCAAATAAATCTAGCGTCTTTACTGTTCCTTTACTATTACTTCATTTGGTGTGTGATTATCTCTGAGCTGTCAGATGACAGTGCGGAACTCTGTCAAACGTTGAAAACCAGAAACGGTTTGTATTCATAGCTGTTTACGATCTTTTTGTGTATCAGTCATGATAGTATACTGACTGGTCGAAATTACGGGTGAATATTCCATCTGCAGTAACCTTCCCAAAGGAGGGCATCTGTATCTGACAATAGATTAAATTCAGCCATGCAGAGCTTTTTTGCCTTCAATTTGGGTTAATCGCGAAAGTGTTTGCTACTTCCGCTGCTCATGAATTTGGTGCAAGACAGATCCATAAAATATCTTGCTCTTGAGTAGGAGACACAGTCGCTTCTGGTTTTACTAAATTGCCTTCTATAAAAGT